GGCAAGGAAGCAACAGCGAAGCATCGCTGAGAACATGGAAGGCCTGAGGTGAACAAGCAATCGAACGCCAAACAACAAAGTATGATGCTTGGGCCGGAAATTCAGTCGTTGGAAGCTGGTTGAATCGAAGGCTGCACAGTGTCACGCTAGCACTGCGTTGCTTCAAATTGCTGACAAAGTGATGCCCGGTGACACATCCACGCCTCATCGAGGAAGGCGCACACACCGGAGTTCAGGATTTGCCCTTGTGATTCAATCGACCTCTGCCGCTGCCCGAGACCAAATATGCATGAATGAGGATGGATGGTCAATTCCTTAGGATATCTTAGGGTCTTGCAAACTGTTATCTTTACTAATGAGGTGAACGAATGGGAAGGTTGAACTCACTGAGGCCTTTGCACCAAGTCTTGCTGCTGCTCCACTGCTCTGCATGTTTTACTGTTTTAACTCTCTCTCACGGCAGTGGCCTCGTCAAGGAAATCATGACATTGGAGCTGCTGGGACCTGGGTCTTTGTAAGCACTTTGCAGGATTGTTCCGCGCATCCCTCACACTATGATTATGCTGACATGTCGGAACAAACAGCAAGGCCCTCAGAAAGGTTGGCAAAGAACTACAAAGACTGGAAAGCGAAACGGACAAATTCTGCACTCATCTGTCTCAAGAACTTTGTTCTTGCTGATGAAATACTCATACGGTGGAGCCGCATCCCACCACCTTCCCTACTCGAGCCTGCAAAGACGGCCGCCAAGGCAACCTGATAGGGGTGAATTGATCGCGGGCTGGCTTTCTTTCTCCAGCTAGTCTATGCCTGACTTCTTGTGTTCTGGGCAGGGAAGAAATGGAATTCCAGCGAGTTTACGCCCAGGCTTCGTCCGGCAACACATGGAGATACCTTCCAAGTTTGTTTCTATACGAAAATGACAAAAAGCCAGAGAAATCAATGTTGCTCGGCATTCCACCTCATCCGTGAGATCTTTCAATGATTCTTCAAAGCGCAAAAGGAGCTCGTCAAGGTAGTCATGCTCCTCATCCGGTAAGGTGGGGACGGAGTGTTTGGGTTGTATCTGGGTGTCTGCCAAAGTATGGCCAAGGCCACCGCCTAGTTCTTGACTTCTGTGGTCCACAGCGTTCAGAAAGTTCTGTGGGGTCTAGTCTGCTACTTTGGGCAAGCAAGTATGTCCCAACTCTTGAGCGCCATGTCAACCGTCCGTGAGAGTCATCAATCGAAAATGCATGAAACTCCATGGCAAATCAGACTGGAGGTTACCCCCTCCGGCTCAATATGCAATAGTACATGCAATGCAGCAGCAGGTCCAAGTCTAAGTGATAAAAAGAACGAAAGGGCTTCTGGCTAAGTCCACAAGCACACAAAGTGAGGCGCAATCCTAGAAGTTGGGAATCCATTAATCACCACTGCCTTGCTTGCAATCGTGCGATGGTAGAATCCGATTAAACATAAGCCCGGTCGATCTCACAATACCGATGTCTGTCACACTTTACGCCCTGTTCTTCATGCTAATTCAGACTGGTTGAGCACATCAATGTGTAGTGATCATGAAAACATATGAAAACACACTGCCTCACTGCCCTTATTTATGCCGTAAGAAATACAAGCAATGCCGGCGGTCTCCAGCGACTCATCCATCGTTTCCTTCATCTTGTGAGTTGCCTTCCGATGTGCTGATTTCATGGCTGCAGACTCTGGTGTAAGACCAATGTAACGTTCAATGTCACGACCCGAGTCGTGCAAGGGGCAACAGCGGCCACGTCATCAATCCCTTTTGCAGGTGAGCTTGAGGGAGTGTCGATCTATGAAGCTCATCAAGCTCTGTTCAAGAAAATACTGTCAATGAGCCTGCAGCCGCAGCCAGCGTTGGCAGAAATCCATTGAAAACCTTGCGAGCAAACGATCACATACCATGATGAACAATGCGCTCGGATCTTTTGGTGACAGCGTCAGGAAGAACACAAAAGAACATCAAGCATGGGGCATCAAGGCATTACATGCACAACATGCAGCGGGCGCAGGCAGCCACAAGATCGAGCATGCAGCCAGGCAGCAAGTGCGGTATTTTCCAAAGGGGCAGGACGTGCGACACTGGTGACACTCTCTCTCTCTCTAAGGTGTTCCCTTTGTGCTTGCCAGGCTCCAAGACTCTAAGGCACAAGCTGTGCAGAAATGTATGCCAAAGCGGCCACCCCGCTTAGGCAGCAAAGTGAAGAAACAAGCCTCAGGCAAGGTGTGAAGGGCAGATGCAAAGCACACTTGATGCCGTCGGCCTCCTTTGTCTTAACCACACCAGGGTCTTGTATGTACTATATGACTATATCTATATAAATATTGTATTCTGCTTCACGTTTACTCATACCAGCCTCCACCCACGTCATGGACATGTTCGGGGTTGTCAAGCAAAGTCCTCAAATCCGTCAAAAACTCTGCATGGGTGTCGAAGTGCGTTTATGGTGCACTGTAGATGATGGTTTGTGATCACCAGCAAAATGTCCTTTGTCATCCTGACATCACACCGAGCCTCCCCAGGAGCTTCTCGGGCACAGTGTCCCCAAAGCCGACAGTGGTCAAGGACACCACAGACGACCACCTGAGAGCGCTGGAACGTGGAGCGGATCTAAGATCAAGCCGAAAGCATGCCCAAAGAACTTCGATGCAGATCCGCCTATAATATCTGCTAAGAGGATACAGATTCAAAGTAAGTGCAGTGTCCTCTGATAGGGCGCGTGTTGCTCGTTTGTTGATATATAATGCATTCCTCTCACCAAGAAACAGATCAATGCACAAACTGCAATTTACCAAGCTTGTCAGTTGGTCTATAATTTGAAACACTTGAACAATCTTGGAGGTAGCGGTATTGAACAGCAGTACGCAAATTTTGGCAGTTTAATAGTGGAGCGTGTGATAGCGTGTGCCTATTCCACATCCCAAGTGATGTAGATCAAGTGAACTAGAAGAACAGGCATTTAGGCGGAATTTGTAAGACCAATGGCAAGCGATCCAGCTCCAAGTAAAAACAGCCCAATCATCCCAATCATCTAAGATTGTTGTGATCATCTAAGATTGTTGCCCATGTGTGCATCAATGCTTCTTTCATTCCTACATCGAATACGGGTCTTATGTGCAACAGATCTACAAGTATTAGCAAGAATCGCAGAACCACTTTCTGGATCCCATGGTGAACAACACAAATTTCCGAGTCCCCTGCCAGACGTCCGGAATCGAGTTGAAGGCAAACCTAAGCTCATGGGTGCCAGCCACCAGTGAGGACACAGAAGGATATTTGATCAAAGCTATTCTTTTGTAGTTTTGATTAGTTTTGCGTCAACTGGCTGCATACATTCAACCTAGGACTGCCTGGACACAAGATTGCACAAGACTTGGAGCCCAGCGTGTCTTCACAAGGATCCAAGTTCAGGTCTGAAGCCATCCAACTAGCGACAGGCATTGCTCATATGTTTCAGTCCAATTTGCCCATTGCCAGGCTCGTTATGCTTTTCTGTCCCCGTCCCATTAGCACTTTCTCGACAGATCTGTCCCCAAGTCAGGAGCATCCCAGTAGTGCGCTTGTTAGGATCCACTCGTCGAACACAAATGTATCACAAGGCGCAACAAACCACAAGCAATTGCATGGGTGATGCCAATTCCGAGGCCTGGAAGAAGCATGTGATCCTGCAGCAAACTGCAATAGTCAATAGAGCTAAGAGCTAGTGAGATCAGCATGGCAGCTTAACCACGTTCGATCTTGAAATGAATCGGACACACTCAAAAAGACTTAAAAGTAACCATACAAGCGGTAACTACTGTAAAATTATAGGTTATATATACATGGTGCAAAAAGTGAAAAGAATGTCTCACATGAATATGGTGCGATAGACACTCATACGAGTACATGATGACTCACAGGGCGAGGCTGTCGCGGAGGGGTGAGTCAGGTCTATTCTGGTCTCTAAAGTTAAGTTTCCCAAAAACTCTAGGAACCAAATGAACGGCGGGGGGAGCTTCCTTGAAGAAGCGTGAGCTATCCTGCGTCCATACTAGTGGCTTGAGTAAGAATACTAGCTAGTTGGCTTACTCCCTTACTTAATTATATAAGTAGGCACCTACTTCATTAAGTAGGGGGGGGAAAAAAAAGAGCCTAGTCTCTCCTCCGCAAAGAGGCTCGTCCACCACATAGAGCAGGCAAGCATAAATCAATGATGTCAAGCCTCAGCCGATGGAGCATCGATCGAGCTCCTCAATAGAGCCGA